GCGCCTTTTCGGCTCTCCGACGGCTCAAGACGGCCCAAGAAGCCCCCAAGATCGCCCAAGAGGCCCCCAAGAGAGCCCCCTGATGGCCCAAGTGGCCTCCAAGATGGCCCCTAGAGGGCCCCAAGACGGCCCAAGAGGCCTCCAACACGCCCAAGATGGCCTCCAAGACGCCCAAGATGGCCTCCAAGACGGCCCTGGAGCGCCCCAAGAGGGTCCCCCGTTGGCCCAGAAAGGCCCCCAAAACGGCTCCCGACGGCGTCAGACGTGCCAGGAACCCACCAAGATGGCCGAAGTTGGCTCGAAGCTGGCCCAAAAGGGCCCAAGAGGCCCCCAAGAGGCCTCCAGGAAGGCCAAAAGATGCCAAAATCACTGATTTTCCCAAGGTTTTTGCTGGATTTGGGCATTTCCCTTTTTTCGGCCTTCCGACGGCCCGAGACGGCCCAAGAGCCCCCAAAGATCGCCGAAAGATCGCCCAAGAGGCCTCCAAGACGGCGACGATGACCATCAAGACGCCCACGTGTTCCCCGAAGGCTTTCCAAACCGATTCGGGGAACACATGGTCCGATGGCTTGGCAGGTCTGGCCTCAACGTTCGGCCACATAGGCGCTTCCACAAAGGCAGGGGGCGGCGGTGATTCGCCGTAGGCGTCTTCGATATGCAAAGGCTACGGAGAAGGACGCAGAGACGGACAGAGGAAGGGACAAACAATAGGGGACGGGAGCCTGCCATCGCCCAGACGCCTATTCCCCGTCTGCGTGTTTTTTCTCAGGATCCCGCACTGGGCCCCGCCGCCCCTGGCACGCTGTCGCAGCAGCCGCCGCGTGCCCCGCGGCGGGGCCGGCCGCGCCATACGCTTGGGGAGCGCTCGGGCCCCTGAGCCGCCCGCCCCGTGCCCTGTTGTCCCTCGTCCGCGTCCATTATTCGCTCTAACGAGGGATCCACGCTTGAGGCAACCCGCGAAGATCGTCGCTCTGCAGCTCTGCAGCGATCCCTCTGCTAATTGTTAGATCGTCGTTCTGCAGCGATGATGCCTGTTGTCCGCGTCCGTGCCCTGTTGTCCCTCTTCTTCCATGGTGGCACAATTCGCTCTAACGGCATCCCCGCTGCAGCCTCTCGTCGCCAACGCAGTCACCCTCTGCCTGGCCGCCGACGCAAACGTTGTTCCCAAGATGGCCTAAGGTGCTCCAGGCTGGTCCAGATTTTCTGGCGCTGGCCTCGCCGAGAGCGGCGCACACGTCCAAGCGATGCCAAGGCCACGACGTTCGGGCGGCGCGCAAGCAGCGCGGGCGGCCCCCACGCGCGCGGCGGGGAGGGGGGGGGGGCACGTCTGGCCCAGGTACTTCACGTCCTGGGCGCCAGAGGGAGGCCCAGAGAACGGAGGATTGTGGCGTACCTCGCCTTTTTTCAGATGGTTTTTGCGTATGGATGTCCTCAGGTTCCCGCATCATTCCTCATCTTCCTCTTCCTCTTCCAACTCGTCCTCCTATTTATCCTTCTTTGCTCTCCTCTTCTTCCTCCTCCTCATCCTCGCACAACTCATCGTCGTCCTCCTCCCCCTCCCAGAAATAGCATGTTTGTTCTAGCGGTGCACAAAACACACACACACACACACATCACAAAAAAATGACGTCCCACCCTTTTTGGGGGGAGGTCGCCCACTCGTTCTCCATCTCCTCCTCCAGCCCTTCGTCCTACCCTCCCTCCTCTTCCTCCTTATCCTCCTACGTTTCTTTCTCCTCCTCTTGCTGGTTGTTTCTCTCTGTCCCCCTCAAAAAATGAGTCGTGTGGTGTTGTTTTTTTGGGGGGGATGATGCGTGGTGCTTTCCAATGAACTCTCTTTTTTGTGAAGCTTTCCCATCGAATACTTCTGGGACGTCTTCCAATGGATTCCTGCTGGGAGGCCTTCCACGAGAATTCCATTTGCGGCGCTTTCCAAAGGACTCCTGGTGTGAGGATTTCCCATAGACTCTCCTTGGTGGTGTTCCCAGAGGATTCCCATTGTGACCGTTTCCAAAAGAATGCCGTTGTGGCGCTGTCCAATTGGTTCATGTTGTGATGGTTTCCACCATACTTTCTTTACGGTGCTCCCCACTGGATTCCGACTGTGAGGTGTTCCTATATAATCTCTCGTGGTGGTATGTTCCTACGGATTGCTTTTATGATGCTTCCCTGTGGGACACCCTTGGGGTGCTTTCCAAAGGATTCCTTTTGACATGCTTTACCGTACAACCCCTCTGCAACGAATTCCAAAGGATGCACAGTTTGAGGGTTCCCGTTGTGCTGCTTTCCACGGGGTCCTTGTTGCGGGGCTTTCCGATAGAATCTCTGTGTCGTTCTGTCGAGAGGAGTCCTGGCGTGAGGCTGTCCAAAAAAAACGCCTCTGCGGCGCTATCCCAAATATTCCTGCCGTGAGGCTTCCCAACTGACTCGTTCTGTGATGCTGTCCGAAGGATTTTCTTGTGTCCGGATTTCAAATATGAGTCCCCAGTGGTGTTTTCAAAAGGGTTTTCTGGCGTGAAGCTTTCCCATGGAATCCCTCTGTGGTTCTTTCCAAATGATTTCCACTGTGACGGTTTCCACTAGAATGCCGTTGTGGTGTTTTCCAAGGGATTCCTGTCGTGAGGCTTCCCATCAGAATCGCTGCGTGATGTTTCCACATCGGTTCCGAATGTGAGGCTTTCCAATAGAATGTCGGTGCGGTGCTGTGCAAAAGAGTCCGTGTGTGCTGCTTCCGAACAGGATCTCCTTGTGGAGCTGCTTGCCAATGGAATACGGTTGTGCTGCTCACCAATGGAATACTGTTGTGCTGCTTTCCAACAGAAGCCCTTTTTGCGGTGCGTTCCAAAAGATTTCCACTGTGAGGAGCTTGCGTAAAATCCCGTTGTGGCGCGTTCCAAAGGATCCTTGTTGCGAAGTGTTTCAGTCGAATCTCTGTGCGGTGCGTTCCAAGGGGGTCCTGTCGTGAGGCTGTCCCATCGGATCCCTCTGCGGCGCGATCCCAAAGATTCACGGTGTGAGGCGTACTGGTTGCATCCCTCTGTGGTATTTTCCGTTGGGTTCCGTTTGTGTGCGCTTTCCCCATCAAGCCCTCGGTGGTGCTTTAAAAAGGCGTTATGGTGCAAGGGTTTCCGATGGAATCCCTCTATGATGGTTTCCGATCGGGTCTTGTTCGTGCGGCTTCCCAATCGGCCCCCTCAGTGGCGCTTTCCCAATCAATAGAATCCCTGTGGCGCGGTCGATCGGACCCCCTTTTGTGGTACGTTCCAAAAGGAGCCCGTCGTAGCGTTCTCCAGAGGATACCTCTTGTGGCGCTTTCCAGTAGGAGCCCTTCGTGCTGCGTTCCAAAGGAGTTCTCTCGTGAGGCGTTCCAGTACAATCCCTGCGTGGTGTTGTCCAAAAGATTCCTGCTGCCAGGCGCTCCACCACAATCCATGTTGCCGCGGTGCTCAACAAAAACTATATGGCGAGGCCGCTCGATAAACCTGTTAGATTCCTGGCCAAATGGACCCAGCTGTTTGTTATCACAGAATCCTGCTGGGGCACATCCCAACAGGAGTCCAACTATGATTGAGTCTGACAAAATGCGTGCTGCTATGCAGCACTTTCCACATGATCCCTGTTGTGAGGCCATACAATGGAATTCCTGTGTAGCAGTTCGCGCTGCGTTCCAAGCCCGAGGCTGTCCAATCGAAAACGTTGTGTTGTCAAATGGTTTCCTCCTGTGATACGCCCCAATAGAAACCAAACCCTCAGCTATGCTTTCTAAACGGTTTCGTTTACGACGTGTTTCCAATATAACCCTTGATTATGATGGTTCCGAGCGGCTTCCTGCTGCGTGGCCATAGAAACCATGTGGGGTGATCTCCGAAGGATTCCTGTTGCGGGCGCTCCAACACAACCTTGTTTTGTGTTGTTCAAAGGAGCTCTGTTGTGAAGCCGTACGGTCCAATATTTTTGGAGTCCTTTCCACTGGATTCAAAGTTAAAAGTTTCCCCAACAGAGTCCCTCTGAAGCGCTTTCCAAAATGCATTCCAAGTATGATTGCGCCTAACAGAATGTGTTTGCATCGCGTTCTCATGGGTCCCTGTTGCGAGGCCATCCGCTGGAGTCCCTGTGCAGCACTTCGCACAGAATTCCGAGTGCGAGGTTTTCTTGTATAATCCCTTTGTGGCGCTTTCCACAGGATTCCTGATGTGAGGCTCTGAATAGAATCTCTTTACGGCGTTTCTCCATGGATTCATCCTGTGATGCTTTCTAATAGAAGCCCTCAGCAATGCTTTCCAAACGGCTCCGATTACGAGGCTTCCCAATATACCCCCTTGGTAAGGATTCCCAGCGGCTTCCTGTTGCGAGGACATAAAATACCTTTGCGTCGCTTTCCAGAGGAATCCGCTTGTGATGCTTACTTGTGATGCTTACGTAAGGAAAGACATGTATATAATGTGTACGTGGGGAGGCAAAGGGAGAAAGCGAGAGAGGAAATATCAGGATAATGATGAAGACAAGGCTGAAAGGTAGTAAAAACTCCTCGGCGAAATTCCAGCCCCATACCGTTTGGCACAGGACTGGAGTTCCGAGGAGCGTGCTCGAGGGGCATTTGTTTGTAATGAGGCTGGCGAAGAATGAGAGAGAGAGAGAACAACAAAAAAACAAAAGAAAAAAATTGAGAAGAAGAAAATTATTCAATCACAATAACGAGAACGAAACAAGCACGGAAACAGTATTAAACACACTCAAAAAAATGAGGTCCGCCACAATCTTCCGGCCTCGAGAACGGCCCAGGCCTGGCGCTCGAGCGCCTCCCCCACCCAAGCAAATCAACACCAGCACAAGTGTTGATGTGAACAGGATTTTGAGTGTGCAAGAACTTGTGCCGACGAGAGGGAGAGAGAGAGAGAGAGAGAGAAAAAAAAAAAGAGAGAGAGTGGGATGTACGCACTTCCGACTAGCGATGTGTGCAAAACGTACTGCTCCTGGTGAGGAGTCGGACGCCGAGCCGCGCCCGCGGCGTCCTTGTAGTCGTCGTACATCGGGCTGATGGCCTGGCGCGGGCGCCCGATCGCCGCGGGGCTCGGCCGGAGCAGCACCCCCTCCCTGCCCCTGCCCCGCACCCCCGCCAAAAGACAGCCCCAAAAATCTCTGCTCGACTCAGGGCTGAACCTAAACGGTGTGTTTCGTATTCGTTTTGTGCTCGTTTTCCCTCGTTTTGTCTTCAATCCACCTCTACCGCAAAACGATGTCGAAACGAAAACGGCCCACGAAATCGCCAAAACACCGTTTAGGTCCAGCCCTGCTCGACTCCCTCTCCGCAGTCCAGGAGCTCGACCACAAGAAACCCTTCCACGAGAAACCTGACCCTGTAAACCCCAGGACGTCCACTGACTCTTGGTACGGGAGCGTCGCGCTTTTCTTCGCAGAGCCATCGAAACCCAAGAAACCCAGGGCACCCTGGAGGCAAGCAGGGTGTTTCTTGGCATGGTTTCCACTGTACTGGATGCCATTCTAGCGGTGGCAGTGAGGGCCGCGCAGGCTACCTCCGTTGCCTCAGCGTCCACGCCCTGCGCCCCAGGGGGGGTGCTCGTCTGCTGCTACGACGCCGAGTGCTTGATCCAGGAAATCCCCCCCCATTTCGCTTCGGAGCCAGTCGGCGTCTTCCGTGGGGATGTTGTTGAGGCTCAGTTGGAATCTCATCCTTAGGCCTTCCGCGTTGATCCCTGTGTTTGCAGGGTCAGGGGGCTGGTTCGGCACCGCTATGCGAGGGAGCTGGGCGAGGCTTCTGGGTACCCACTCACGTAAAGACCGGCTGGGCTGGCGACGGTACGCGAAGCGTCTGGAATCATGCTTGTATGCAAGTGGTTGCTGTTCGTCGATCCCCCTGCCGTTCCTCCTGGAAACTCGCCCTGAGCAAAGGAAACCAACAAATACCGATACCGCAACTCCCCAGACCTCTCCCCGGGTGCGCTCTGACCAGAATTTCGAGGCGAATCCAGCCGTGACGACGAGGGCCTGACGGGAGGGCCCAAAAAGGCGAAAACAGGGGACGGGTGGCGGGATCGGTGCCTCTTCCTCCTCTGATGAGCTGGTGGGGTTGCACGAAGCGTCTGGAATCATGTCTGCATGCGAGTTGTGCTGCTCTTCGACGCCCCTGCCACTCTCCCGGAACCTCGCCCTGGGCGCCCCCCCCCAAAAGCCCCCCGTGCCGAGCGGGCGCGCGGAGGGGGCCATCGTGCGGTGCCCGCGCTCCGCGAACTCCACCGCCAGCGAGGCGGTGACCAGCGCGAGGCCCTGCGCGCGGGGTGGCCCTCCGACCCCACCCGCCTTGGTGCCCACGCGCCAGGAGGGGCCCCAGGGTACACAAACAAGTGGGCATAGATATCCAAGGATGGCCGATCACTTTCCAAATTCTCTCGATGTTCGCCTTCCCCCCCATGTTTTTCAAATGTTCCGTGGGATCGACGGTTATTTGGGGAGACAACCAGGTACCGTTACCGCTACTCCCCAGACCTCACCCAGGTTGCGTTCTGATCGGGATTTCGAGGCAAGTCCAATGGTGGCGACGAGGGCCTCCCGGGAGGCCCCACAGGGGGAAACGAGGCAAGGGCACCTTCCTCCTCCGATGAGTTGCGTCCGTGCCTATCTTTCCTCCTGAGGTCCCAAGCGCCGCCGTCGCGGCCACGGCACCCCAGCTAAAACAGGGCTAGGATCGGGATAAATCGCTCCAGAGCGTTCCGGAGCGCTCTCAGAGCGTTCCGGAACGCTCTGGAGGGGCCGCGGCACCCAATACATCCTCCAAACCCGCCGACTCTCAGAGATTTCGAGTTATCCCGATCCGATGTTGTCCCGATCTTCGCGTCGTTTTACCAGCACCTCCTCGGCGCGCTCCACGCCACAGCGGCTCCGGCGGCCGCTCGGGCAGCTGGTGCCTGCGGCCTGCCGCTGCTTCGACTGCCTTGGGGCTCCTCCTGGTGCTGGGTCTGCTGCTGCATCGACTGCCGGTGCTCATCCTCCTCCTCCTCCTCCTCCTCCTCCTCCTCCTCCTCGATTGCTGTTCATGCTAAATCAACCCTCCCTGTCGCACCCCGAGGCCAGTCGAAAGGGCGGGCAGGGCGTTTCGCATGAGACGTCCTCATCATGCATAACCAGGAAACTTACAAATGCACAGAACAGTTTTCCGGATGGAGGGCGTGTCGCTTTCGAAATGTGGCTCTCGCATTAGCGCCGCGCGGGCGGTTTTCGAAATGTGGCTCTCGCCTTAGCGCCGCGTACCTTCGATTTACAGCATTGCAAGAGCTTCACGGATGTAGGCGGGCGGCTTTCAAAATGTGGCTCTCGCCTTGACGCCGCGCACATTCGTTTTGAACACATGCAAGAGCTTCACGGATTGAGTGCGGTTTGTTTCGAAATGTGACTGTCGCCTCGGCGCAGCGCACATTCGCGTTAGACACATGCAAGAGTCCCACGGACTCCCATGGTCAATGTACCAAGAACTGCGTTTTGGACGGATTTAGGATTGTGAAGGCGCAACAATTGCGTTGATTCGCGTTGTTGAAATCCCAGCAGTCGTGTCCCGGCACGATTCAGGATCGCGCAACAATCAGATTGATCCGCGGCGTTGGAATCCCGAGAATGGTGTTTTGGCATTCTTCAGGATCTTCAACCAGTTGTCTCCCAATGAGTCAGTTCCCTCAGTGGACATGAACCCTTTTGGGGGACTATGAAGGGGGAGTTTGGAAGGAGGTGTTTTCCAACATCGTGAATGAGGCTTGGGTTTACTCTGGTCCTCCTCCTCCTCCTCTTCCTCCTCGTGCTCACTCCCTTCCTTTCTGTTCCTGGTCCTCCTCCTCCTCCTCCTCCTCCTCCTTCTTTTCCTCCTCCTTGCTGTTAGCCACAACCTCCTTATCCTCCAGATTATCCTCCTCCCCCTCCACATTCAATTTCTCCCCTGTCTCGTCCCGCCCGTCCTTCTCACCCTTTTCCTCGCCCTCCTCCTCCGGCTGTCGGTTCAGATGGGTAAGTGTCCTCGGCGTCTTGCTCGAGATAAGGGGGGGCGGTCGGGTCCACGCGATCCCGTCGTCTGAGTGTCCTCGGGCCTCCAGGTGAGTTGGCATGCCGACCAATTGCGTGTGAGTGCGTCGGTCCTTCTGCCGCGGCGGGGCAACGCACCGCTGCCGCCCATCTCCACGCGTTAACATCTGATAATTCGAACCCTCACCCCACGCTTCAGCATTCGCATTCTACGTCGTGACATCTACAACGAAGCTCGATGCTGCACCTGTTGCTCCAACTGGTGCTGGGAAATGCTTAGCGCACGGAACACGGGATACTGCGCACTTGAAACCACAATGCACTTCAGTACTGTGCGCGCCCAGCGGACTTTAAGCCATGCTGCCTGAAGGCCGCACCTGCTCAGGCTGCGCCATTTTGCAACGCTGGCATTCGCACACTGCAACCGACTGTGCAACTGGTGGTGCAACACACTTCTTCTGCAAACGCAAAGCCGCAAATCGTTATTCCTTGGGTTTGCCCCAGCTGCGCTGATTACAATGTGCGGGTATGCGCGTGTTGCTCGACAGAGCATCGGGCGCGGCAGTTGGCAGAGTAGTTTGAACAAGCACTAACGCTGTCGAGTAATGGCAATCTGACGCCCAAAAATGCCCGTGGGGCCCGAGGGCTCCGATGCTGTCCAAGGTTCCTAGATGCTGCCCAAGGTCGCCCAAGGGTCTCAAGGCCACGCGACTGCCCCCAAGCTTCCCAATGCTGAAAGTCGGACCGGTCGAGCACAACATATCGGCCAACCGAGTTGGATCTACAGGAAACGTGAGTAGATTCCGCGGTAGTGTCAAGCAATCGCTCCTAAAAGAAAAGGCGTACACAATAAGAGGTGGGCCGCACCAGGTAACAAATAGATTATCCTGCTCGGGTGCTCCCTAAGTGCATCTGCGTTACCTGGGAATCAAAGCAAGCTTCCTCGTCCCGCGGTGCACGTTTTCCGGTTGCGTGGCCTAAGGCGCCTTGCATCTTTTGAACGCTGTCGACGGAGCGCTGCGCTGCGAGTGTGAGCGCAACCATGCAAACAGCGGGTCCTCTTTCCCCAATGGCTGGACTATCGATTGCTGTCCCCACGAATTGGACCATGATGCCCACAGGGTCCGTCCGCGTTCCGAATGTTGCTCCGCACACCGTCTTTACAGAGGAATTGCGCATGCAACGAAATAGAATAGCTGAGTAGTGAAGTCGTGGTGCGGGGAGTAACACCATGTTGGAGCAATGCAGCGCGACAGGAACATAATAGTATACAGTCCAAAAGATGTTTTTGGAAATGGATCCCGCGCTCGCGTCGGGCCCGCTATCTCTGCTGCGTCCTCATCAGGGTTCCAGTGGTACTGTCTGCTTCCGGCGTCCCAAATCCTGCATGATTGCATGCGTGTTGATATAGAGAGCTAGCGTAATCGCGGTTTTCATTTTTCTCGGTGCACCATGGGTGGTCATCTGTGGACGTTACCTCATAATGCTTTCATAGTTGCGACTTCCCCCTTCTTGCCCAGGTGGCCTACAGCGGCGGGACAGAACTTCGCTTGAACCTCGAAGGGGCCGCGGAATTGCCAAAAATGTATCAGCCCCCCCTCCCCCCCTTAGAATCATGTCAAGAAGAGCTTTTTCGGGGACCTGCCAGCGGCGGGATAATTAGACCCTGGGGCATTGGTCCTTGAGACTGATCTATTTTAGATCCAGAACCGGAATGATTTCATCGGCTTTTTTACGAACAAAAGAAATATCCCAACGTATCCCTGATCCCAGCCTCAATGATCCCGGGGTATTCCCGACTTCGGCTTCGGGTGGATTCGGTTCCTCGCATTTCAGAAGACACCTTTGTCCCGCCGAAACGGAACTGTCGTCACGAACGGTCGCCGTCGGCCGCCTTGCCGTGCCGTTTCGTGCCGTGCCGCGCTTAGTCTGCGGCAACGTTGCCTTGCCCATGCCCGCGTACCGCGCCATGCCGCGCTTGGTTCTTCCAGGGCGGCACATGCGCAATGCTGTGCCGTGCCGCGCCCGCGCGCCGTGCTGCGTGCGTGCCGCGCGCGTGGCCATACACGCGAAGCACGCCCATTGTGATGGTGATGCACCGTTGCTCTCATGCAGAGTCGTTGTATGGGTCTCTTCGCACGCCTTACGAAGACTGCACAATTCCATTTGCAACTGTTTTCCGCAGACTGTAAAAGCACGGGCAATGCAACACCAAAAACGCAATAGAACCGTGGCGTGACAGAGTGCAGCACCTAGAAAATAATATGTGCGATCAGGTACTTTCAAAACAACAATAATCTCGCAGCCGAGCAACACATGATAATGTGCACCGTTAGTTATAGCGCCTCACGTGCTACGGTCGTAATGTGGTGGATGCTTGCCAGCGTGTCCCCCCCTCCCCAACTAGTCGGTCGTTGCACCCTCGGTGGGATACCATGTGTTGTGCAAAATGCGCATGTTGCCGTATGTTGGATGCCCGACTGCCCACAAAAGAAAAGCGTGGGCTCACGACCAAAGAAAAGTCGTATGCGCGAGGCGTGGGCCGTGACACGCAGAGCATGGCAATGAACATGAACATCGAAAATCTGAGCATATACTGCGTCAAACAGCCATTGTGTTGCCAGGACAATTACCGAATATGGAACGAAAGGGCTATTCTGGCCACGGCGAGCCTCGGCCACGAATAAAATCCACAACCTGGATCTAAGGAACAGTCTGGAAGTCGCGACCTCCTGAGTCCAAAGCGATCGTCATCTCAGCGCCCTGACTGCAAATCTAGGAAACCAACCCTGCCCCAATGCATGCCGATAAACAACGCCGATAAACAGCGCACAAGAACAGCAGCCGCGGCGGTGTCGACAGTGCCGTGCGCACCGAGTGAGAACATACTGCACCTGAAAACTTACACCAGGAGTAACTGAAGCAAGCGCTGCACCTTGAGCCGCTCGTCTGGTGAGCTCGTCGCAAAGTGCTGGCCCCGCTCAGCGCAGCCGCTTGAGCACGCCGCCCGCATGCCCCACCGAGGGCCCTTTGGCGTCGGAGAACCACTGGCCACGCCCTCGGCGACGAGAGCCCCCAGCACCACATGACAATCACATCGCTGGGGGTGCGGTCATGGAGGTAATTCCCCGTGGCTGGTGCACCGCAAGTTCGGTTTGTATCGGCTCAGGGCGCGCTCACGGATGTGGCGGCCAAGGTCAGTGCCCCACGGACTCACGAGGAGAGCCTCGAAGCCCAAGTCATGCATCCTCGCCATCGTGCTCCGCGCTAAGACGAAGCCAGGACGAGGATAAAATCGGGTGAGGATAAATCGGGGATCTCTGAGATCTTGCGCCTCTGGAGGATGTCTGGGGCGCCGCGGCCTTCTCAGAGCATTCTGGCACGCTCGGAGCGCGTTCTGGAACGCTCTGGAATGGATGTATCCTCGCCCTGGCCCCGCCTGACGCGCTCCTCCTCCCAGTCCTCCTGCGAAACAGAAGGAAACGGCAGCGCGCCCCGGACTTCGACCAAGGGCTGATCTCGCTGGAGACCACCACCACCGGCACGTCCTGGCGCGCAGCGGCGCACACGCCCACCCCGGGAGCGGCCGCGGCAGGCGCAGAGAGGCAGAGGGGGCGGGGGGGCGGTCGGGAGCTCCTTCCAGCAGACGCGGCGTTGGCAAGCGAGAGGGGGGACCCACCCAGACCTCCGACACAGTGATCTGTTCGCAACGTGGAGCGCATTCTTTGATTCGCGGCTCTGATATGACGGACGTCACGGGGGAGGGGACGGGGGGGGACATAACGTAGTGCCCCCCCCCAGACTGTGGTGCCAGACGCACTGCGGCAATGCCGGGGACGCACTGAGGGGGTTGGGCGTTACGCTATGGGAAGGGGGGGGGAAGGGGGAGGATAGGGGGCATAACGCGCGTTATGGCCCAGAGGGTGTAAAAAACACTCTGGTGGACATCTGAAAGTGTCAATCCTGATCAAGTTCTTGGCGGTCGGGGTGGCCCAACGTGGACTCCTTGGATTCTGAATCCCAAACACGTTTGGACTGTCGGGGCCTGGTGAGGGACCCCGGAGGCCATACATTGCAGCAACAAGGACAACCAAGACGTCATGATGTGTTGAAGACGCGAAGAGGTATGAGCGGGAATAGAAGAACGAACAACGTCATAAGCATTAACTGTCGATGGTCCACACGGATTTCTTGGATCGGCGCTGGATCCCCCCCTAGCGCGCAGAGCGCGCAAGGGGAGGCACCAAAGGCCCCGACAGGGGGAGCCCATCGCCGATTCAAGAAATCCGCGCGGACAGTCGAAAACGCGTGGTTACGCCCTTCTCTCTTCGAGGGATGGAGGGAGGACCGGGGGTAGGGCCCAGTCCCCCCGGTTCTGCTGCTGGCCTGGCCGCTGCGACGAGGGGCAGGGCGCAATCCCCCTGGTTATGCTGCTTGCCTGGCCGCTGCGCCCTGACAATGACGCGGCGGGCGGTGAAATCCAAAAGAATGCAGCCCCCCCCCCTCCCTCCCAGCGGCGATTGCCGCTGAGGCGTCGATCAAACTGGAGCATCTGCAAAGGAGGGAAGCGCCGAGAGAAACCGCGCGGGCAGGAGGGCCTCCCCCGCGGCCTCCCCCGCGGGGGCGCGGCAACCAGGTCCCCTGGCCACCCCAGGGGAGGGGCCAGGAGCCGCGGACGCCGTCGAGGCCCCGCCCGCTCGGCGGTCGGCGCGCTCCCCCCCCCCCCGCTCCCTCCCAGGCCCCGGCTGACGCTCGGCAACCGCCGCCCACAAACCGCCGACGACAGCCCCCGCCCGCCCGCCCCTTCGCCAGTCCCTGCGTGCCTGCCTGCTCGGTGCTGCACCTGCCGCTCTCCCCACCCTCTCGTGTCGGACACAAGGGCCACCACCACCACCAAGCCGAGCATCCGGAGGGACGCGTGGGCAGAAGAGCGCGCGAATCAGCCCACGTGGCTTGTGCTCCAGGGGCCTCCTGGTGCCGGGGGGCGCCAGTGTACCGAGGACGGCGCCGGGCGGCGGGAACCAGCTGCATGCAGCAGGTTTCGTACCCCACCCCTATCCCCCATCCCTCCTCCCCCTCCCTTGCCATCGCTCGGACATCCATTCCCCGTGCATTGGTCAGTTTCGTTCGTGTGTGCTGTCTCAAGATGTTCCAAGATGCTCCAGGATGGTCCAGAATTCCTGGCGCTGGCCTCGCAATGATCAGATGCAGACTTCCGAGCGGTGCCGAGCTCCTTGTCCGCGTCTGTTCGCCACGCTTTCTATCCTCCTAATTCTCATGCAGCAGGTTTCGTACCTCACCCTTTCCCTATCTCCCCCGTTCGTCCGACCCCCCCTCTCCCCTCCCCCTCCTTGTCCGCGTCTGTTCGCCGCGTTCTCCCTCCTCCTCATCCTCCTCCTCCTCCTCCGCATCTTCCTCCTACTTGGACGGGGAGCGCAGCTCGCGGCGTGCGCGGCCATGCGGCAGCTGGCCGTGCTGCAAAAGGTCGTCGGCCGACCCAGAGATCTCACAACAGGAGGGCGGCCACGTGGGCTTCCGCAGCCCACGTGGCCGCCCTCCTGTTGTGAGATCTCTGGGTCGACGTTTCGCAGTTTCCGCGCACACCGGCGATGCGGGGGCGGCGGTGGCAGCCGGAGACAGACGACCACGACGAGGGGCGACGAGGCCTTGGCCCTCCTTAGCCTCTGCGCCCTGCCTCCCGTCCGCGCCCGCTCGCGCCTGCCCCGCACCGCTGGCCTTCCGCCAGCGCGCCCGCTGGACTGGGGAAGGGTTGAAGGGTGGAGGTGGATGCAGACGGAGCTCGATCACAAAAAGCCTTCGACAAGAAACCCAACCCTGAGACCCTAGGACGTCCATTGATTGGTGGCGCGAGAAAATCACGATTTCCATAGCAAAAGCTCCGAAACCCAAGAATGCCAGGGCACCCTGGAAGCAAGCAGGGTGTTTCTTGGCATGGGTTTCCACCGTAGGAGAGGGAACAGGGGCAAAGAAATCCACTTCTGTATAAACCTGATCTCTCTGAGGCCCGCGCGGGCTTCTTGAATCGTCGCTGGACCCCCTCCCTGGCGCGCGCAGCGCGCAAGGGGCGGCGCAGGAGGCGCCGCCGGGGGGGCGCAACGCCGGACGAAGAAATCTGCGCGGGGCGCCGAGAAATCATGGTTGTGCCGTTGTTTGTTCCTCGAGAGCATGATGGGGATGCGGGGGGGAGCGGCAGCAACAGCAGGTGTGCACCGCGGGGCGGCCGTCCTTGTTCGTGGATACGTACCCCGGCTGGGGCGCGCTCTCCCCAGATCCGTGGGCCCCCGCGTCGAGATCTGCGAGGTCAATGTCTCTGAAGAGGCTGAGAGAGCCTCCGCGGGCTGGCGGGGAGGGGAGAGCACTGCCAGAGTCCTCCTCCTCCAAACGGGGCCGTTGGAGAATAGAGCATCCGGGCACCTTCTCTGAAGGGGCCAGGTTGGAAGACCTCCCCTCGAGCGGTGCATCTCGAGTGTCAAGGAGCTCCACCCGCAAATCGTCCTGGCAAGCAGGCGAATGTTGGAAACCCGTAGGTCCCAGGGAGAACCCTTGGGATGCTCCAGGGGCGGCTTTCAAGGTCGGGTGGGGTGGCGGGGTAGTGGCAGGGCGAGGAAAATGGCAGGGCTTGCAATATGAAAGATCTAAGGGTTGCAGTGTCTGAGGTCGACCTGAGGATTTTTAGCTGCTGGGTCGCAGCGCCTTCACTTCTTGATTTGTGATTGGCAGGCATTGAGGTGGAAGCACCAGCACCCTGCTGGATCAGGAGTGTGGCCGACGCCGACGCGAGAACACCAGACCGAGCTGGGACTGCAGCGGCACCAGGGCGCGAGCGCCATGCGCTCCCAGCCAAGAGTGCGGTCTGAGCCGACGCCACAGCAACGAGGGAATGGGATGGGCGAGTTGGCCTCGGGAGCGTAGCCGCCGAGGAGAGAGCACCATTCCCAGCACAGGCTGTACCTA